ACAGTTTTGTAATTGACTTAACTTAAGCAAAGACAATGTATAATGCATGGGATGTACACGTTTTCTCCACCGGAAAAGGAACGCCTACCCTTGTTCTTGCTGTGGGGAACAGGTGGGCAAGTGAAGCACGGCGAGAAGCGACGGCGTTATTTCGTCTCATTCGATAACGAGTTCATGGAATTGCTCGACTTTCCCAGAAATAGTACAGTTTTTGCCAATTTTTAATTGTTTTTTGACCACAGCTCGCTAAAGCTCGTCCTTGTTCTTTACGTTGGCCAGCCCCACCGAAGGCTTGTAGCCACTCACTGATGCTTAACAGCGGTGACCCAACCTTAAGTCTTCAACACGGAGTATACGATTTTCTCATAAGAGCTGGACTATCATAATTCGCCACGGAGCCAGCAGCAGGTTGCTTGAACCGGCATTTTCGAGCGAAGTGCTCCCAACGAGCACTGCGGTGCCCTCCCGGTGGCTGTTGCCCAGCCGAGTATACACTACTGACATTTCGCTTTAAATCCGTAGAAGGGGGCTTGATTGTGATCAACATTCGTCTTTAAAAGGGAACTGGCCTTCAAACGGAGCAGTTGAGTTGTACTCGGGAGCGCTGCAATTGCATCCCTTCGTTCGCTTGTTTGACGTGCAAAGTTTTCGGTTGTGCTTCCATTTTTCTTGTCGATTTTATCTATTTTCTGAATATTGTGTTATGATTCGATATCTTTGGCACTTCTTTTCACAGCTTTCACTCGGCGGAAGCACTGTCGCCTTCCCATATCGGGCAAATGCCAGCTCCTGCGGCTAAGTTGCCGAGCCGGCCAAATGGGGGCTTCAGCAGCGCGTCTTCCTCTTCTGACAGCAACGGGAAGAAGGGATGCTGGGGGCTTTGGCGCAGACTGCTACAGGGGGCGATAGCTCACGTGGAAAATACACCCGCCGTGGTGGCGGCAAAGACGCAGCGGAAACCGTGTGGAGTTGGGCGTTATTTCGTGCTGGTGACGTATGTTATTTATGCATTTTTGACTGCTCGTGTCTACTTCGCTTGGCCAAACCTTTCAAATTTGCTCTTCAGAGCAAACGCGTATTCGTGGCTGTGTGACCAGTACCTGGCAGAAGGGAAACCGGATATGAGGGAGCCAGTACATGGGGGAAAGCGGTACATATGCGAGGACCAAAACTCAGCAGTTGGAAATATATTTGTAACTTGTTTGGCCTTTGCCTTTTCATTCTCTCTTGCTGCTGGCCTCCTGCTTGATTACCTGGGGCCGCGTATAACAGCTGCAATAGGCCAGCTCATGAACGCACTCGCCTGGGTATTACTTGCCTTCGGGTCCGAGTCAGTACAAACTTACATTGCCGCATTCATATTTATGGGTATAGGATCAGACATAGGGTATTTGCCGCTCCTGTCTTCGGCCAACCTCTTCCCTGGACATGAGGGGTACGTTCAGCTGAATTCCCGAGAGTGGTGATGCCTCCCTTGTGGTTGCACCTGACTAGTTTTTCAGTGTACGTTGTTGTGCGCTTCCTATATATATTCCCTGTCTGCACATGAATTTCGCTTTGCAGGCTGATCGTCGCCATACTCGGAGCGTCCAAGAGCGCCAGTTTTGCGGTGCCTACAATCTTAGATAAGATAGAGGTGGCCAATCCGGGTATAGGTCTGAAGGAAGTTTGCCTAGGATACGCTCTTGTGGGGCCAGGTGCGTTAAAACGGCTCTTTCGAATGTCTTCCTTTTTTGGTTATCCCATTCATCAGTTCTCTTCTTGCTTGAGCCGAAGCTCCTTGAAACTCGCTTTATTGGTGTTCACGTGACTTTTCGTGCCGTTCACTCTTTCCGTACGCTCTGAGTGGAGCTTTGGTGCAGCCACTGTAATCGAGTGAACACGCGTTGGGGAGCTTACCGTGTGCATGTGAATGGCATTTCTCAGGTTTGTGCTTCGTCGTGTCCCTATTCTTGATCCCCTATAAACACTTCAAACCCTGGAACGAATTTACGGAGATCGAAAAGGGGGGTGATTATCACCATCCTATTCAGAGGGTCAACGATTCGTTCGCTTCCATAGAAGCCCATGCATGGCGCGACAGTTTCAGCAGCTTTCATGAAGGTCAGTGGCCGCTGTATGCACACGACGGGCATTCCGGGGCCACTGCTTCCGAACCAGGTCGCAGGAGCAAAAATTTTCTAGATGTACCTCGGCAGGGAGCTGGCAAAGGACAGGGAAAGAAGACCAGGTCTGAATGTGGCGGAGCAGATGAGGAGAGGAAAACTCAGGATGACAAGCAAAATAAAGGTGGGGTCAGCCCGCCTATCGCCGACCAGACGGAAGAGGTTCCTGCTATTTACCAAGCAACGCGAATGAGCGTTGCAACGGGAGGTGCAGGAAACGCAGAGACACTGGACCAGCTAGCTGCAGCAAAAGAAGAGAAGCCCGCTTCCTTCCTTAAACAATTCACATCGCCATATGCCATATGTATTGTGCTTTATTCCATCATTAAGGCCATTATATATGCATTTTTCACCACAACAGCTGAAAACCTACTAGGAAAAGAGGTCAACGACTTCATGGGAGCTGCATTGCCCTTCTCCCTCTTCCCATGCATTGTAAGTGCGGAACGTGTAAATATTTCTTCGGGTGCTACACATCCAGTATAGGGCACACTTCTTTGATGAGAAAATCATCCACGTTTTGCTTGCTAGGTAGAATAACATGCATATGGCTGCAGTAGGTGCAGCTCGTGGGGTTACTGTACCTTCGTTGTGTATTTCAGGTAATAGGCAAGGTCGTGGACATGGTTGGCATCATGCCCATTTTGTTCTTCCTGAATACCTGCATAACCCTGGCGTATGGGTTCAGCATGGTTCCAGCGCTGCCTACGGCATACCTTTCAGCTCTCCTTTATATTTGCTACGTCTCTTTTTACAGCTCACAGAGCTACTGTTTCGTGTCCGATACATTCTCGTCCTCCCACTTCGGAAAGATTGTGGGGACAATTCACTTGATAGCCGGCTTCCTTTCCTTGTTGAAAATCCCCATGCAGAAGCTCGTTGTGGAAGTTTTCCACTCTGTGTACTACTACCCTTGTCTGATTATTTTGGTGCTATGCGGCATCAACTACCTCGTGTTACTGCTGCTGTTGTGTAAGAAACGCGCGGATCCACATCCCTTCTGGCCGCAGGCAGCTCGGGACATGGCCAAACAGGAAGCAGAGGAGAAGAGGCGGGCAGCGCAGGAGAAGAAGGAGAAGGCGAAGGCCAAAAAAGAGCAGAAAGACCGTCCGGAGTTGAGAAACCAGGAGACTGACGTCTGAGGGGTGCTCAACTGCAGAGATAAGCACATCCAACGATGCGTGCTACTCAATGACTACCGTATGCTGTCGCAAGGATCAGAACTAGTGGTATTTGCATGATTTCATTCTGCAATGCATATAAAGGCAACGAGAGTAGCAGACAGCAGTAACAGTGATTGGAACATGCGAGCGGCTATGTAGTTCTGTTAAGGAACTTGTGGCCCACCGTCTGCTGCTTGGTTCCCAGTGGTGTTCCTTATTATTTTCGGTGTATGGGGCTGAGCGGTTGCTCTGCTTGTACCGCCCTCCTCCCACCCTCCGTATGTTGCATCGTCCCGTATGCTAAGCGCTGAAGCGTTGCCAAGTCATCGCGTTTATACAGGAGGTGGTTTGGTGGCTGAGGGAATTCACGACAGTCCTGGTGCAGGACACAGGCTACTGGGAGGCAGTGTCTCATGGTGCTGGACACACCAGCCTCAGCATTCTGTATGCTTCCCGCGCACAGATTTAGGGCGCTAGCTAAGCCAGCTAGCCAGCATGTAATTTATCTGGGCTCAGAATAGCCCAATGGGTATCTCCAGCCAGTCTGGTAAGACAGTTTTGGAGCTACCAGCAGGGTTTAAATGACCTGTTGAGCCATTTCTGATTCTCAGCATCTAGCTCAGTGTTCTGTCAGTCGACACCGTGTGCGGTCCCCCAGAACTTGGGGATGACGCATATCTGGGGAAGAAAGGCGGGTATACGGTGCAGGAATGTCTGTGTCCAGCCTACTTCTCTTGAAACAGCTACTGACGACCTTTTCTTTTTGGGGCCTATGCTAGCCTTGGCTAATCCGGATGCCTCTCCATACGAGCCAGCTGCATTTTCTCTTTTTTTTTTATGGGGTGGCTCGAGTCGGGAGGCGGCGCCGCACGAGAGGATACCACTAACAATGTTACGAGGAGGAACATTCGAGGCGCAACTATTAGGATGCAGGGATACAATTTATAGTAGTTGATAAGGTTAAGCTTAGCAACAATGAGGTATTATCTTCTTTTCAGGCACAGTTACTTCATTCTTCAGCACCATGTGACTGCGGGACTGCAAAGGGCATTTTGACTGCGTTGTTTTAAGGGATGCACGCTTGTATACAGTTCGGTGGTTCAGGTTCTGTAGGTGACGATCTGCACGGCGTCAGTATGTAAAGCCACAAGACTGCATGGGGCTCTGTACCTGAATATGACACGCTTTCGAGAGGCAGCGGACGGGTCGTCAGCTGCTGACCTTGCGTTCTCGTTTTTCGATACTTAAGGGAAAACACTTGTGAATGCACTAGAACAAACGGTGAGTCGACATTCTTAGCCTGGTATTGCAAAACAGGAGAGATGCAGACGAATTATTCTTTTGGAGTTTTATATTTAAGGAGCCGCACCGTATCTGGAGAGCGTCCGCGCACAAGAGACATGTTTGGGAAGAGGTGGTGCTGCGCACGCAACTGCACAGCCTCTAAAATTTCCCGCGCTAAAGGAGATGGGAAATCTGGCTAAAACTGGGACCTTGCGGTTCACTTTTTTGCCGTTTGCATGTAGTCACTCTTGCTATTCGTTATGCATTGTACCAGTGTTTTGGGCAGGATGCGTCGCTGTCAGTTTTGGGTTGAGTCTTAACTGCAGCTTAGTGCTTGCGCCTTTAAGTATCCCAAATCATTCGGTTTAAAAAGGGCTGTTACCTGCGCAAGCATATGCACTTGCCGAGAATGCAAGCTCGACAAAGCGGATTCTTTAAACTCAGAAGTGGAAGTAGCATGGGCTGCAGCATAAACGGTGGAGGACCCAGCGTGATTGGCCCACTGTCACACCATAAATTAGCCATGCAGACTCGGCGGGAAAACGAAGGAACTGCGGGCATCAAAAAGCATTGTCAGGCACCAAGAATACCTTGGGCCGCAAAGCAGCGCAGAGCCCTCAGACTCGAATGGTTGTGGGGCTTGGCCGCTTCCGTAAAAGGGATCTGTAAATTCAATCCTAAAATAGTGCTTCAGGTGGCATGACTTCAGCGATGACCACTCAGATGCTTGTACATAGATTGTTCACAGCAGCAAACCCGCCAGCAATGAGACGGAAACTGCCACCAAAGATAAGCACATGTGAGTAGGTACTGCTTTGCTCTCTTGAAACCATCCCTGGAAGGTGCTTGCATTGACTTCTGCTTGGTCTGACATGTTTGTAAACCCCAAGCTATCGGCAATGAGCACTTGTAGAGGAAACCCCTGTACTAAGAAAACATTCCCGTCGTTGTGCATGTTGCCTTCAACATTTTGCAGCTCACGGAAATTCCCGTCTTTTTCTTTAACCGACTTAAGAGTCTTGGGGTTTAGCATTTTGTAGAACCTCAGCATGGTGTCTGTAGCGACAGGCAAAGGCTGACGCGCGACATACCACCTTACATTCTCTTCACATCCAGGCATAGTGTGGCTCCCGTCGTAAGCAAAGAACTCCTGATTTGTTAGCTGTAACATCATCATGAGGGACTGCAGGTTCAAAGGGTGAGGAAGCTCAAGCAGCTGGGAATCGCCTGAAAACAGTCAAATCAAACAAAGTGCAAGCCTTCAAGCTCAAGCTCTGCCCTCGCCCAAATTGGTATAGGTTCTGAGGAGTCCGATGAAAAGTGAAATTCTGAAGGAGGCAGAACAAAAGAATGTATTCCCTAGGCCGAAGGTGCTCAAATAATGACCGCTCATTTTGCACGTACCTTGTTTTTGTTTGTTTGAAACGTCGGCCATTAGCAGCGTTCTCAGGAGTTTTTCCGATGGGAGTCCTCTCAGTTCTTCAAGACTTGCCTGGTCGAGCTCTTCACTCATAAAAGTCAAAGAAATAACTCTCCAATGAGAAGACGGAAGAGAAGGGTCCTTTCCACTTTTGCTGTTCTCAGCCATTGACCGTTCAACTTCTGGCAGGTTGACGCTACTCTGGGCGAAGAGCGCCAGGTAAGGGAGAGAGGCGAAATTTACACTTTTGCTGGCCTCCATTGACAGCAGGTCATTCGAATAGTGCCATATCTGCATCTCTATTTCCCTTCTGTTAGCTTCTCCTTGAAATGTATGCTCACTGGGAGAATGAAACAAAATCTGGTGCGCAACGAACATTTCGGTTGTGTCAGACCCGAACATTGCACCTAGCGGAACGAGACCTTCTCCAGCAGAACGAACTTGAAATACCTTATCTGTTCTGTACAACAAGACGTTGCTGAGCTGGTTTGGATAAGTGTAAAAGAAGTCTCCCTTCTTCCAGAGCTTGCCCGGCATCGAGGCTGCTCGCTCACCGGAGAAAGCGCTCAAGTACAGTTGTGTCATGTTCTTCTGATCCGGTTCCTCTAAACCTTCAATGTGTAAATCAACAGGGGACTGACGTGTGCCTGTCTTGCACTTTCCTTGTGTCCAGTCAGCCCCGTGTTCTTTGTAGTCCCATTCAGATTCTGCACTAACTCCCAACTGAGGGATAGTGCCTGCTGCGGAAGACAACTGGTGTTGCCTCTGAACCCATTGTTGCACCAAAGAGTGCGCGGATAGGGTTTCTCCTCTCAATTTTGAAGTCTCGTTCTGGCTGGCGTTCGCTCGCAAGGCAGCTGCCTTAGCCCCCAAAGTCGAAAGATGTTCAGGAGACAGGAGAGAGCTTGCTTGATTGTTCCACTTGCCCGCTTGAGCTCCAAGAAGCAAAATGGAATAAGTAAAGACGAAAAGGAGTAGAAGAAATGTCATTGTCAAGGCGGTTTCGTTCTCTGTTCAGCACTTAAGCTTCCCTTGGACCCGTCCCTTCCGACTCACTGCGAGGTTAAATATACGGAAAGAACGAATGCGCCAGCAAACGTGCTGCTGAAAATACACATAAGACTTTTCTAATTTAGTTTCAATGACCAACTGTCTTTTGCTTGTTCATTGGTGCTGCCGACAGCAGACCAGTCACAGCGCCGTAGCCCTAAGGCTCCTCACTGCCCTCTGCAAGCTAGCACAGCACACCTTCCGTGCATTGAATACATTCGATATTCTCCTTTCAGAGCTGGAACATTTTTTGGTTCCACCAATTTTTCCGGATATAGACCGAGAGAGAGAGCCTTCAAAAATCAAATTACATAGTGTGCAACCGACAATGCGCCCAATGGACCACCAAGGCCTCGCCAGTGTCGCGCTAATGGAAACAGAACAATTCTTCCTTGCTGCCCTCGAGAATCCAATAATGTTTCCCCAAATTACATAGTACTTACACGAAATGAGGGGAGGTGTGTGGGTGTGAAGGCCTTGAGGCATGCATCATTGCCGGAATTTCCATTCGGTTCCCGCAGCCAGTTACTGCAGCCGGTTCGCTTGCCAAGGAGATGTAGCGCTCACAGCGCGCTCAACATGCCTTCCTTTGTGCTCATTGCAATCACTTACATCTATTGCCTGCGCAATGATGACCACTTCAACTTTTTCGTGCGAATCACCTGTCTTGAGTACCTTGACCATCCAGTCGGATAGCCCCTACTCTCCAGTGCCACTGAAGAAAACGTCCATGAACAGGGGCAGTAAATAGATGGTGCCTCTTCTCCTCTTTCATGCAATCTTTCCGCTAATATATTTCAACCGATTTTATTCCCTCACTGCGACGATCACGCGCTCTCAGCGCATCGCCCGTCAACGTGTTGGCAATTTTTTGAATGCAGCTAGCTTTCAGCGTTCCTCTACCATAGTCTAGCATTATTTTTAAAGATAAGACAACCATACGTAGTACAAGGATAGCGTAGGAAAGATGACTCGGAGCATGCAACAATCATCCGGACCGTTGCGACATCTGAGCATATATTCACCTCCTTCCCAAGCCCCTTCCCTCCTCCAGCCCGCTATGAACCGTAAGGGTGACTCACACAGACATGCCTGGATTACAAACGACTCTGAAAGGGTTCTATCCTAGTCCCGCCTCCCCATCCACACACCCTTCCTACGCCATCGTACTGAGAAAGTTCTTCGTTGCCGGCAAACGGCTACGCAAGTGCTGCTGTGAAAAAACAGAAACTAAAAACAGAAAAAGAAGACGTACACCCACGAAAACGAGTACCTACCATCTGCGCAGTTCTATGCAATGTGTCATGACAACTGCATTGGCAATGCTGCTAAATAACCTGGTAAAGATAATGCCTAAACGTTCGCAGAGTAGGTAGCCCCTATTGACTATAAACTCTGCGGTTTAGAGCTCGTACACTATCTAGCGACTCCGCCAGTACAGTCTCTATTAAAACCATTCCTTCCTACCCTTGATATGCGTCAAGCAACCAAACTGCGCAGTGCTCTCAATGGGCTACCTACTGGAAACTATACTACAGTAGGGATCCTCCCCGACGCTGTACCGCTTATGCAACATACTTCGCTCTGCTTGTCGCCATAATTTGTTGACGCCAAGAAAAATTCTTAGTATTTTCACCCGCAGATGCTCAGGATACACCAAAACCAGGAACGCATCTGCTAGGCGTGAGGATACTCCCTCCTGCTGCCTAGCCCGGCAGCCAAATATCTGTGCTGCAAGCATCACCCCCAAACCCCTGGATGCGGGCTTGCTGGAGCCATGATCGTAAAACAGGCTCGCAAGCGCGATGGTAGACTACACGTCCTCTATGCACAACTCGAGGAAACAGCTAACCAGGACCCAATGTCGCTATGGTGTAGCCGCACTCCAGCTACAGAGTGTCCAAACATTTGATATTTAGGCGTAAGCGGGGTTGCTTTCGCTGTCTGCACGTTCGACAAAGAAACAATAAGCTAGTACTGCGAAGATCTTGCGATTTATTCATCGTCAGATTCCGACTCTACTACGCAACCTTTCCTGTTAGTCTCTCGGACAAGTTGATTAACTCGGCGACTAGCCCTTTTCAGCTCTGGGGAGAGCATTTTGACTAGAGGAGTTGTTGTGATAGCTTTCCGACCGTCTAGTTTGCTGCCAGGTCCTGTTTCAATGAGCATTTCAATCAATTCATGGGGCGGAACAGTTTGGAAATCTCCGTCATTGTAGTCTATTCGGAATTGATTTGTGTAATACGTGATCTTCTTCTCCTTTTCGTCTTCTTTTCTTCCCTCCGAATTTCTTTCCGCGTCGGCGTCTGCAACCTTACTTGAAATCGCCTGGTAGTTACTCACTACCCCGTAATACCACTTTTTCTTTGACGGGCCGTCCGGAAACTGGTAGTCCACCCTTGTTTTCCCCAAAGTAACACAGAGCAACGGAATGCTTCCTTTCCACACTGTCTCGGTCTCGTGAACTTGCGGCTTTTGCGTGTTCTCCGCGCTGCGGCGAGCAGCGTTCTCATGGATCCTTGGTTGTCTATTTCCGACCATAAGAGCGTTCATGTTTGCCCCCCGCTGCAGCGGCGTCATGTTGTCGAAAAGCTTCTGCAGTTTTTGTTGATGCTCTTTCTGCACCGTCAGCAGGGCGTCTTGGAAGCACGTGAGAAGTGCGTCCTGTATCTGTGCAGGAGAAACAAAGTGCGGATGATCCCAATTAGACGCTAGGTGCCGTTTCGTCAGCCTGCAGACCTCGACGCTCGCCTTCGTCCCGTACAACTTATAGCAGTGCACACAAGGCTGCAGCGAGCCCAAAAGCGCTCGAGGTTCTACCGGCATATCCGTCCGGCAGCCAAGCAGTTCCTCGCTCGAATACTCCTCCGGTGTCAAAGCCACAGGGCACGGCTGCATTTTGCTGTTTTGCCTTTTTTCGCTGCTGTTTTTGTACACACGCATTGCTTCCTCAATCACCAGACCGTTAGCGTGCTTCTTCTCAACACCGCCATCCGCATCACTGGGTCTGACGTCAGTAGGTTCCCCATTTTTCGTGCCGTCCCTGGTTTTTCTGCACCCCGGGGACACACTGCTTGTGCCAATCGGCAGAGCTGACACAGCATCAACGTCCTCCTTCACAATCTGCGGCGTTTCGCTGCCGTGCACAGCCAGATTTACGGGCACTTCCTCGGGTCTCGTGAGGGGCGTTGCTTCCGTCAGTTTTTCGCTCAACCGAGCCGTCTTGAAATCAGCTTGACAGCTTGAGAAGGATTCGCCGGCTTCGCCAGTTCTCTTAGCAGCATCAGAGAAAGGAGGTTCGGCGTCTACAACGCATGGCGGTGCAGAACCCATAGACGCCCCTGCTTCCCACCCGCTCACCTCACCCCTCTGCGAGTCCGATCCATCCGTCTCCTGTCGAGAGTCACGTCCTCCCTTGGTGGATGAAAAAGTTTCCTGGTGGCACCCTTCGCATGCATTTGTACCAAAAACACCCTTCAAGTTTCTGCTAAGGTAAGACGAAGAGGACTCCGTCGTGCCCCTCTTTGGTCTCTTGGAATGGGCACTGAGCCCGTTCGCTCTTACGTTGCAGCCTCTGCGTTTGCTGCCAGCTGCGCCAACCACTGCTTGAGTACCTGGGCGGTATGAACCATCTCGAGTGTTCGTTTGTTCCACCTGTCCTTTCCTGGATTTTGGCGCCACAATGCTGGTTGTCCCAACGTCGCTGAAGAACGGTGAAAGGAGCGGGTTTCCCTCGCTAAGCACCTTGCGGGCTCTCCAGTCCACTGAGAAGTTCATGGCTGTTGCCATTCTCTCCCACTGAAGCCGGCAGACGCAGCAAAACCACTTGCAGTCCCCTTCAACAAACCACCGGTAGACATCGTCTACACTCTCTCCGCCAGTAATAACGCCAAACTCCGGGAAGGGCTGCGTTGCTTGCGGGGATGCACTAGAAGCATCATTTAGTCCCTCTGAAAAGCTGGAGGGATCTGGAGGTTCTTGAATCGACGCCGGTGCGTCTGTCTGCAGTAACCCCTCAGGATGCATTAGAGGCTCCTTAGGTTGCTGCTGTCTCCCCTGCCGGTGCTTTTGGGGCTGCTGTCCCTCCTGAATATTCTGCTCCTGCCGGTCTTTTTCTTGCTCATTCATTTGCTGCGCAACCTCCTCAAGCTTCTGCTGCTCGTGCTGCTGCGCGGGCTGACTCCGGCTGGCGCCATGTGCCCCGAAGATACAACGTAGATGGCAGGGTCTGTCACATCCGTCGCAGTGCACAACCTGTTCACCCCATACAGGCGTCATTTGCTGGTTCCCTTCCACGTTTGCTGCCTCACTCTTCTGTTGCCTTTGGATCTGCGTCTTCTGCGGCCTCTCGCCTGGTCCTTGCCTGACCGCTGCTGCCGACTTGCCCGCATTGTCTGTAATTTTCACTGAAGTCTTCGAGGAGGTAGTTGACACTAGCGGTATCTCGTCCGAGTGACAATACGGGCATACTTCGCCCATACGGGCTCGAGTCTGCAGCGCCACGTCGTTGTCCCGCACTAAACAGTCTGCACTCCGTGCCGGCGCTAGAGTCTATAACGCAATGAAAGCCAGCACATGCTCAACAGGGAACTAATGAGCAAATGGAAATGAAGACTGCAATGCAGGATGCATGGCAGCAAAGGTTCAAGCACACCGCGCACCTGACAGGCGCCTGCTTTAGCACCAGTCCGATAGTCGAGGAGCTCGCGGGCTATCGCCTTGTGGGAGGCATCTTGCACCCTATTGAACCAATCATAGCCGAAGTCAGCCAGAACTTCTTCTCCTGCGGCACCAGCAATAGCAAGGCTGGCCACCAACAGGCATCCTGAAAGCTAGTGAGTTCTTGCTTACCGTCGAGGAGGTGAGACACCGGACTGGCGCTGCATTCCTTCCAAGGTATCTGACTCCCCCCTTATACATAAAAAGGGGGCTGTGACGAACGCATCAGGCACGCCCACACGTCAAAAACATGTCCCTACGCAAGAAAGCATCAATGAATGTACCTGGTTCTATCGCAACTCCGGGAATCGTGGTGAGAACAATGTGTGGCCAACCGTCCACAAAAACCTGCTGCCACTCTGTGTTGCAGTGGCATATTTTCTCTCCCAGCAATCCAATGGTGCCTGAGGAGGCGACAAAAGAGAAAACCGAGCCCAACTACTCAGGTTCTTGCATCAAGCTCAAAGCTGAGCACGAGCAACCTGCTCAACACGCAGTGCAGATAGAGCTAGCTGCCAAGTACGCCGCTGCCCAAAGTAACGTTTAATCCGTATGTGCCCAGAAAGAGGCGCAGGCAAACTTAGAGATATGCAGCAGATATAGTGGAGGTAGTCGGCACTAAGACACAACTAAAGACAAACGGTCCTCGAGGAAAAAGGGCAAATGACGAAACCCACCGTAGTGATTGACGAGCGACATTTGGTTGCATGCATCATGCGAGTCCAATACCAACTCTCCGCGAACAGGGAGTGCCACACGCTCGATATTTGAGGAGCCTACGAACCAAAACAAAAAAATAGCACAGCACCCCTTAACCACAACGCGCACAATATACGTCCTCAGACGAAGGCTGGGAGTCCCTCCCCTCTCCTTTAAAAGAAACCGACTGCCGCCATCTGCTGCGCCTTGAAGATCTCCGTTCCCCACGGTTAATGCAAGGCCTCCATGGAGACGGAGCAAGAACCCTTAACTTCCACGTGCCGCACCTGTGACTTGCACTCTGCGTACGCCTTCAATATATGCGGTGTCCATCTCGTCCTTCTTCAGCCCCTTCTTGTTCCCCGACCCCAGGGCCTCAGAGGAGGCTGGGGATGGTGGTTTATCTGCAGTAAGGAGTCCCTCGTCTTCTGATGAATCACTGTCCTTCTCGAATTCCTCAGCCGCGCGCCATGCCAACGCGCAGAATGACAAGTCAAAGACGTACTCGAATCTGCGGGCAACACACTGCCCAACTCGCCCGTCATTATATCTGCCTCAGGGGCAACCTTGGTCGCGAGTTGCCCCTAGACTGAAATGTACAATAACGACAGAACAGCACCTCTCTCTCCGCGAAGCTACGCACGTAACTGTCTTCGTTCGTCTATCTCAATACGTATCTTGCAATCCAACGCACTGCCCGGCGCACTGCGCCTGCGTCGATGAGGGCCCCTCGTGGTGCCATTTCGAATTAAACTAACGCAGATATCGGGACAAAAAGATATGCGAAGTACCTCTGCTTGTTGGTGTTTCCCGCCCTTACATGCCCTGTGTATTCCCCCAGTATTCTTCTTTCTCTGGAGGCCCTTATCGGCTCCTTTCCGGCGTATACGACGGTGTAGCAGCTCTCGCCTGGGGGAGTTGCGAAGCGAACGGGGTGAGTAGGGTCGGTGACCCTGCAGACTACCAGGTCTGGATCCACAAATCCGTGAACTACCGACATGATGCTATTCCACATCTCCCTCATTGAAGACCGGGACACCTGAAAGCCAGGAGGCCGGGACAACAAAAAAGTAACGCAAACAAGCACCGCCTGCACTGCCAAGACCAATGCATGCACAACCAAAAACAAATGAGCGAGGTACACCGCCGCAGGAAGACCCATAAAACCCCACGTGGCTTCCGAATGCAGACTTGATCTGCAGACGCACGCCAAGCTCAAAGAGACGGCGTCTGTCTACTAGTGGAAGCAGATAGGCAGCTGCTTGCATACGGGGGCCTTTGAGTAATGCATCAACGGAGACCCACCTGGAGGCCCCCGCGTTTGAAATCTGGGCAGACAATAACGCTGTGCCACTTGCTGTGCACCCAGCCCTCTCTATTGTTCCCCCATCCCTCGCACTGCCGCTGAAAAGCCTTCAGTAACCGCGCATGTTCCGACTCCGCCCGTTCGTCTCGCACCTGAGCGCACACCCTAAGCACGTCCTTCCAGTCCAGAGAACCGAAAAAGCCACGTGATAGCTTAGCAGTTGGATGGTGGTTTCATCACTATAACAAGTACAGTGATAAAACCACCATCCAGAAGGCCGCCGATGCAGAGAGACAAAGGGAAGGGAACGAGTGAAGAGTGGGTTGGATAGCTGTGTGCGTGGCCACGGACCTGGGTAGCTGCCCAGCCGATGCCCCTCTCCTCCAGGACCTCCTTTAGCGTGCACGGTTCGAGGCCCCTTGCCTTCAAGTTTGCGAGGAGCTCAGGAGAAAGCTGCGGAAGAGAGTCCTTCACCTGGCGTGCAGCACTGAGGACAGCTTCTGGCGATGTGAATTTGCCGCAGGCGGCGGCACCGGCGGCTCCACTACCCACACCTTGGGCTGGTTTGTGCTTGCTGCGTCCCTTAAAAAGAGTGCCTCTGACCCCCCCTCCTCCCTTGCGCCTGCCACAGCCTGCTGCATACTGTCGTGAACGCTCTTCATTCTGGGTCTTGGAAGAAGCGATGACGCCGCTAGGGGCAGCTGCCGCGTTAGCCTGAGCCTGGTCATTCTCTTGACTCGCAGTGGGGCTGCTGGAGGCAGCTGCAGGTGGGGAGGCAGCTGTGTTGCCTCCCTCTTCTTTCATTGGAGGCAGTCGTGTCGAGGCTGCAGTAGACGCGTCAAATGCCCCTTAGACTCAACAAAGCATGCAGAGCTGACGCACCCAAGCATACAAGCCTTGAACGAGCCAGAAGAAACCAGCCCAGGAAGATATATGGGAGAGACAAAGCCCCCCTAGACGCTCCTCCACTCGCCAAGAGAACCAGTGTCTGATGCAACACGTGAGGCCAGCCCACGACCTTTATGAAGGAAAGGGGTGCTTCCGCTCGTCACCTGCAGACCTGCCCTTCAGAGCCCCACTTTCAGTTGCAACCCACAACGCAGTGAGCTCCGGAGAACAGGGCGCCTAGGGGAGTGAAGCAACTGGACACTCTCAACTGATTGATGGAGGGGTAAGGTGACGTTGCTACTGTGCTGCCGAAATGTTCGCCTGATCAGGGAAAGGCTTCATACACTAGTTGCAAGAACCCTCTTTGGGTGCAACAGTGAGACATCTAGGGGAGTTGCAGAGGAGGGCCAAAAAAGAGGAAGCGGCTGTAATACAGTCAGGAAGGCGCTGAGGGAAAAATTGGGTGTGTAGCCGAGGAGGACTACGAAGTAAAGGCCGCTTGCTGCCCGTACACTCCAGCAAAAATACACAGAGAAGTCAAGTGCACAGGCCTCTCTAGCTACAAAATGGCGGGAATGAAGAGGTCTCAGTAGGCAGAGGGGCTGGGGAGGACGAGGAACAGGCTGCGGAAGCCCACACTTTGGAGGCTCATATTTTCGTGTATTGTTCAAAATAGTAAGGTGTTGCAGTTTCTGTTCGCACTGCATCTATTCCATAATCCGTTTCATATGGCCTTCCCCGTAAAGAGCCGAAAACTCGCCCTTACCCCTAGCAGCGGTACCCCCCACCCCCCGAGATGACTAAACACACACAGTCTGTTAACCTCGAAGGGCTTTAAACTCAAAAGACTCGGCTAGTGAGCATTTATTGCCTCCACTTTATTATTTCACATGTGCTTCTTCTATGGGTAGCTGGTCTTTCATCAGGCGCTCTACGCATCCACCGGACAAAACCCCCCCAACGGACCAACCTCTCCCTTGGTGTCGGCAACCTTTCGCTTCCCTGTCAAAGAATGCGCAACGACAGTGCAAGTTGAGCACTGTGCGTTCCTCATCGTCTAGAGGAAGGCAAACCAATACAGTACGTGGGGCAAGCCTGCCTCCGGCTTGGCTTCTGTACACGTCTTAAAGCCCGTCGCTGTTGAGGGAGTTCCCGAGGCTCTCTTCATATCTGTGCTCCGGCTTTTCGTGCATGGACGGAGGGGAGATCTTGGTCGTAACTGTGGCGTCCACTGCTGTAAAGAAGCTCAGCCTCCACTAGAGGAGCTATGCAGTAGAATACGATGGGATCGAACCCTGTATTTATTAGGAATCACCCCTAAGTTTGGTTGTTAACGACTAGCATACAGCCCATAATATGGAAGGCATGCTAGATTCTAATTAGCTAGTTGTTCACGCATTGTAGCATCGGAGGCCGAAGGTGGCCACGCTGCGCTGTTAAAGGCCCGAGGCTGTCTTTGCTTGGCCACTGAATCTGCGTGCTACTTGAAATAGGGGATCTGCATATTGCAATTACTACAAACAATGCAGAAGGAACCAATAGTGTGTTGCCGGTGGAATGGCCACAACCCGCATAACTGTGTGGTCGCAGCGGATACCCCTGGCGACGCAGACTGCAGGTGGCAGGCTTAATTCACGTATATGGCTTCGCATCTCCAGTCTTCAAAGGCGCTACTGCGGCATTCTAGCACCAGCCATGACAAGATGCGCTTGGAAATATCGTTTATTCTGCCTCAAACATGTGGCTGAACTGCGGGTGGAAGGTTGCTGCTGTGGCTGCATCAGCCAACTCAATGTCTGTACGCCCCACAGACCACACAAAATAAAGTCGTCGTGATTAAAGGGGACACCATTTCGCGTCTCATATCCAGTCCTTGTAAAGGAGCGAAGCATGAGGGTCTAGGAAGTGCGCAGTGGTCGCAATTCATTGTACTCGGACGTGTATCAACTGCTCGTCTAAAGCACACACCAACGAAGAAAAAGGCTAGACGACACCCACCTAGGTTGTCTCCTAACGGGATGGTCTGGTCGTGCTCGTCCTGTTTGATTGTCAGGTCATCTTGCACCGTTGCCACCACTTCCACGTAGCGGCATGGCGGAGGGGTCCCACGAAGGAAGCACTTCACACATCTACCTACAGCAGCAACAGTGCCGACACACATTAACTACAGCAACTGCTGTGGCAGCCTTACAATGGAAGCGCACACAGCTGTTGATTTAACAGGAGCAATAAGGAAGCCTTCCATGCGGGGGTGGTTTATATGCAACGCGGTACGCCTCGTGAGGTCTGCGCAAACATTGTGTGTGCAAGGATTCTCCTCTAAGTACCTTCAGAAGCCTCAAGGATGATGGCATCTTCTTCTGCTTCCTTTATACGCCCAATAAAGCGGATCCGCCTGCCGACGAAATCGTTCATCCTGCCGTAGGGCACCCGCCTGCACACCAAAGCAGAGCGAACGGGAGGGGAACGAGATTGTGGTGTCTCTCTCAATACGGCAACTCAGCTGAATGCATCTGCAAAATAGTGAGATGGAACGCAAAAAAGAGGAGATGAATGAAGCGGACGCAGAGCAGCGAAGTCGTGAAACCCGGTAGATCGTGATGTTAAGATATTGGAGTGGCAAACCAGTCTTCTTTACCTCGCAGCCTTCTGAGCCTCCATTTTCAAGCACGTCAAAATCGAGAAAAAAACCGAGGTAAAGGGAGAGAAGATTGTAAATGGCTTCCTGCGGGGCCTCTTGTAGACTGCCTTCGGGGGTGGGGTTGTGCCACCTGCGAACGCAGTGGAAGACGGCTGTAAATAGGGAAGCGGTATAACTATTTCTGCATATTTTGTGTATTATATCTCTTCTACTAATTTTTCGTGGAAGAAAGAAGGCGTCAAACCTTCTTAACTAGGCGCAAGCATTGCGTCTGCACGCCGCCCCTGCTTGCTGAGTAGTGACCAATGTCCCGAATATGTGGGCTGTAAGGCCCTATCCAGATACATAATTGTTCTGATTATGCGGTTTTTACTACATGTAGATTTAGTCGATCAAGTGTGTATGAAAGTAAAGTTGGTTGTATATGTTCTACCTACAGCGCTCAAACATGGGGATTCACTGGAGTAAGTGAAGTATGTTATTCACGAGCAACTCGATGCTTTGACTTTATTAATAGGTTGGATACCTCGCAATTCGGCATGGTTGCGGGTATGCTCGGAAATTCTACTAGTGGGCTTTACTAATTACGGTATTCGACGATGCCGTCAACGTGGTGCGTCCGATGTTTGCATGTGCCCTGCTCCTGGTGAGCAGGCTTGCAACTGAGGGCCACGTAGGTGTTGAACAATTGTCTACAATGTTACTGCACGACCCAACTTGGGGTCTTCCCGCTGCAGACGTTACAGTGCAAGGACGCTGTAACTCACCGCAGGCCATGTCTTCTCAACAACTTCAGGTCTCTGTCGCTGTGCCCAGGCCACAGTTGGACTGCAATGGAGGTCACTTGTTTTCGGGGAACAGTATATTTGCGAATTTCAACTCTTTTGTATCCCATGACGGTCCTCAGCTGTGCCCAGGCCACAGTTGGACTGGAATGGAGGTCACTTGTTTTCGGGGAACAGTATATTTGCGAATTTCAACTCTTCTGTATCCCATGACGGTCCTCAGCTAGGGTCGACGGCCTTCGCTTCAATCACCGTGACGGGGGAACCGCTGCAGCCCAGTTGGTGACCATTCCCGACAAAAGATTAACCTCACCAAATTAACTGCAGCTACTGGACTACCTTTCCATTCAAAGCGATACGTGAAGAATGCCTAGCACGTACGGGCGACGTAATGGGTCTATGTTGGCCGCAGCTATAGGGGAGGTCAGCATCTCAAGGGTTCCTACAGTTTGCCAGCGGGGTTTCTGCGATGGAGAATAATTCAACAGCACCTTGTGTCACTCCAGACTCACCTCAGCGTGTCTTCATGCCCACATCACTCAAGGATCACGGCAATGCTGCACTAAAGAGGTATGTGGGTAATTCCATCAGTATGTCAGCTGCGTATTCGTTTCGGAATTAGTCCTGATAATATTGGTGCGATAAACTCTTACTTGGGCAAGCTGGCGCAGATGTATGTCACTTTAGAACGCAAACTCACGTTCTTTAGCTGTTTCCTCAATAGGCAGTGCTTCTGTGAAGTTTTGAGTGTAGCAGAACGCCCCTCAAGTAAACAAAACAACAGAGCGAATGAACTAAACGGCTGGAATAAAAACAGAACCAACCTAATTGGGTAGGTGCCAGCGCTACACAACAAAGAGTACTCAAGTCCAGGCCAAGAGGCCAGCGATATTTCAAGAACACCGTGTGCAAGCATTCCACGCCACCAGTCAGCCGGCTGGGCACCCAGTATCCCCCTAGCGCCCACGACAACGCACCAAAAGAACTAGATGAGATGCAATAGCGCCTCGCCTTCCCTAAACATCTTCCACTAAAAGGCATCGCGATGGGTCTCTGCAAGACGCAAATTGCTGCCTGAGGATCGACAAGGCTCCTCATGCGGAACTTGTGAGAAGTGTGTGCGACAGTCAGTTATAGTCGAGAAGGGACCGCTTCACGGTTCTCGCTAGCGCCAGACATTTGGATGAGCTGCTCTTTACTTCAGCGCTTAGCCCGTTGTTTGCAGCATGAGGTGCCTTTGTCCATGCTCCAAAGCACAAAAGCACAAAGAGGTATTTTCAATGTGTAACAACGTGCCCCATTGCCATGGTCATCAACTCCCCTTATCGAGGATTTCCTTCAATACATGTAAGCCCTGCATATTAGAAATCCGTGCCGAACCTATACACTCCTCATCCCTATAAAAGGCGGCGATCTGCCCGGGGGCAAGCCCCACATCGGGCTCCTCCAGCAGCAACTCCGCCTCTTCATCAGACACAGAAAAGCATGACAACCTCCCTGATGAACTCTTTAGTGGGTCCGGTGAGGGGCCTTTTGACGCCCACAAAATCTTGAATTTGTGTTTTGCCACTCCGTGAAAACCTGCGCTGTGTCTGACCTGCACAACCAGCCCCACGCGCTCGTTGGTGTCTTTCTTGAAGGTTGCATTCGAAGGGTTTCCAACAAGCACTGGACCGCCTTCCCTTGCAGCAGAAATGGCATTTGCTGCGACGGTTGCTGCAACAGAGCCCTCATCGCAGAAGGACGTCCCTTGAAAAGCCATAGAAGCAGCGAACTCGGGAGGGGTTTCTCCTCCAAGCCATTTTAGGTTGTCCACCCTTAAACGGGTTCTTAGTTGTCTAAGCTTCAAAGCCAGATGGGCCCTTCGGTCGGTCTTTGCAGCAGCCTCTAGATGGGGGCCGTCATGGCACTTACGAGAATCTCTGACGTCAGATGCCAGAGTTCGAACGCACTCTTCTGCTGCTCTCTCCTCCTCTTTACTGACAACAAAAAGAGCGTTTGCCTCAGGGACCTTGCCGACTACGCTCCAAGGCCCTGAAAGAGTAGGAGGGCCACCTGTGGCTCCCTTGCAGCGTCGGCATAGGCGTGGATCTAAGAGAGGCAGGACCCCTTTTTGCTGGCCAGCAGTGAATGCCCAAAGGCCTTTGTGACGGCCAACAAGAGCTCCTGATGGAAAGTGAAAGATGGGGCCCTCTTTCTCCCCTAGAAGATACGTCAGAAACTGCCCCACTGGCAACGGCCCCAAGAAACACAGGCCTTGGCTGTCCGGCCTCTGTGAAGACGGCAGGTGCCAGTCAGCCGCTAGTTTTCGCACCTGACGTAAGCACACAAAATGCAGCAGCAGCGCAGCTAGTTGCTTCTGTGTGCGTCGCTTCAAAAGATATTCAAAGGCTAAATACAGGGTCAGTGGACTTTACAGCCTCACCTGAGTCTTCAAGAGGGCGCCCACAGGGAACAGGGAACGAGATAATTGTTGGAGAGACAAACCAGAAAGAAAGTACGACTGATCCTTTGCCAGGTCTTTTCCCCTTAGCAACCTGGGAACTCCTGAGCGGCGCAGGCACAAATAACACCGGAAGTAGCAGGAAATGCCTGATAGGGTTCTCGAAGCAATTCAGTTTTATTCACCACGGATACAGCTGAACCGTTTCTGCTCGAATACCCAACTGTTAGCTCGGAATAACGAGGGAGATGCAGCCACTATTATCGCAACAACTCTCGCAACAGTAGCAGCCGCTGCAGTTCCTGGCGCGATATTGGCTGCTCTCACAAACTTCTCACTCAAGACAAATTGCCAAAGCAACCCAGCACAGGCCTATTTCCCACCTTCATTCATTTGAATTCTAGCATAGTGGCCGGAGACAACTGGACAGTCTAGATCACCAAGAGTCTCCACAAAGGCCCCGAATTTCACTAGAGAGTTGCAGCTCCAGTCGGGGTTTAGAGTCAGGCCCGATCTTTGACAAAGCACAGCACACACACTTCAAATATTGAGGAATGTTTTAGGTCTCTAGGTTTTGAATTGTTGGGCAGAGTCGCCCAGGCCCTACCTTATGGGTTGGAAACTAGGGAGTTAAGAACTCACCGAGCCCCTTCTAAGAAAGTAGTGATGACCCTGTCCCAGTACTGCTGCTGCATGGGAACAACCTCAAGGGGCAAACCTGCTGCGGCTGCCACTGCCGCTGCCATCTCAGCATCCTCGCGCCACGGGCAAGCTGCTGCAGCTGCTGCTGCAGCGGCAGCGACAGCAAGCCTCCCCTGATGCGCCTGACTGTACACCTGCTCCTTTAGTTGGGTGGCCTCTGGGGCCCATACCTTAAGGAAGACAGGCTTTGGCCTGAAGCCCCACTCTCGCATTAGGAACAAAGATACTGCAGAATCAACTCCCCCAGATACCAGCACGTGTGCCTCCGAACCAACGCCGCCTCCAAGAGGAAGAGCTGCATGGCTTCGCTCCATTAACACAGCTGTTCCTTCATGTTGTCGCAAATGTTGTCCTCTGCCTTCTACCGGTAGTGTCAAAGGATCTGGCATGTCGCCAAGGGGTCCTTGTGAGCAAACAGTAGATGCGCCCCCCGCCCCCAAGAATGCTGTTGGCGCTGTTGGTGCTGGTGGCGCCATTGGTACTGCTGTTGCTGCTATTGCTGTGGCTGCCTTCGTTGATTCCGTTCCTGCGCAGCCGTGGTTGGATGCAATAGCGTCAACGTGGCTTCCTTTCCCGGCCCCATCAAAGTGACGAAGCCCCTTCCCCAGTGACAATGCCGCCTCACAGCTGGTGCACTGGCCCAGTAAATCGCAAGTGGAACGCCAAATAAGTTCAACGGCCCCCCGAAAGCCCCTTATCCGAGTGTAGGGGAGCAAGTCCAACAACCTGCAACGGCGCAAAAGCCTAGTGGGTCCTGCTGCCGCCAAAAAGGATGCCCCACAAGGAGACCCCCCACTAAGGCTTCGTGAGAGCAACTGCAGAAAACCGCCAACAAGAAGAGAGTCGCTTTCCCCCCAAACGTATACTTTAGCCCCTTGCCTGCCGGCTGCGCAGCACAAGCGACTGGAACTGCTGCTGCTCATAGTGCAATGATCCATGCGGCTGGCGGTAATCTTAAGTTGATCCTTGGGGGGGAAGTGCAAGGCCACTCTCACAGAGGCCATCGCTGCGCAGCCTGAAACGGGTCGCGTCATATCGAATAGGGTGACCCCTGAGGATAGACGGGATACAAAGGCTGCAGCTGGCGTAGCTGCCGCCGTTTCAAGTGCTCCTGATGGAACAGCTCTTAGTTCCGTTGCTCGATGGACCTCCGAAAGTGGCGGCATTTCTCTGAACTTTGAGGGATCATTATTCGGGGGCCCCTCTACTGCCTGCTGCATTAGCACCCTTAGCCGGGCCTCAGCTGTAGGAGCTTCCCTCAGGGGTCTGGATGCATTCATCCATCTTCGGGAAGCTTCAAATACGCCAGTGCACCCTAAGGGATACTGTGGGTAGGCGTATTCCGTACGGGAGATGGCCGGTGGTGGAACGGATGGGGATGGTACTGCTGATGCTGCTGATGCTGCTTCTGCTGCACGACATGCCAGAAGCCTTGCGTTGGTCATCCTAACACGAGGGGCAGCACTTACATGGAGCTCCCCAAGGGAGCAGGGGGGACCGCAGGAGCCGCTTGCCCGCCGTGCACTGCAACATTGACATATTTGTGGACACCGCAGCAGCCACGAAAGCGGTGGCGCACGTCGCACTGAGAAGCAAACCCTGTAGTCGCCTTCTGCCTGTTGATGATCCGTTAAGAGATCCCTACGGAGGGCGGGCAGCAGCTGCGGTGAATGGATAGCGTCACACCGTAGCCGCAGGGGCAGACTGAATGGCAGTCCAAGGGTCCCAATGCATAAGACGAGAAGCCCAAGCATTGCAGGATCTAGATGGTATCCTGCACAGACCTGGATTTTGAAAAGCCATAGGGAAGGCTTCCGTAGATCGAGATACGTCCCGTCGTTGATGTTGGGCTGCCGTACTTGCGGTCAATGCTGCAGCCGTCTGCTCCGTCTGTACCAATCTAGAAACTCCCGCTGCCATTTGTCTTTTCGCTGTTTCTCCCCTGTTGCATGGACTGCCTCAGTTTGCACTACGGTGCTGCGGCTGCCCTTCTTCGCTGCCCAGCCGCCGGCAGCAGCAGTTGAGGCTTGGGTTGTTGCTGTTCCCTCGCCGCCGACCCCACATTTGTGGAAATATTGGAGGCCTAGAGCATCCTTTCGAGTGTAGAGTGAGCGAAATGTGGGGAGTGAAGCCTCTGCGGGAAGGTTGGCTTATGACGAAGACGAGGCTCGGAGTGACTCGCAAAGGGAGACCAACGACAACCACAAAACTTCAAGCCACAACCATAACTGCGGAGAATCCCGATTTGGAACGATGTTATATTCGTGTTTTCCAGTAAAAAGTTGGGCTTTGAGTCTTGGGCCTGCAAGACAGCCAGGGATCTGTAGAAGTTTCGGCAGGGGCCCGTAGGGGGGCCCCCAAGTCTCCACTGGGGGCCAGCGTTTGCCACTCAGTGCAAGCCACCCTAACATACGAAAAGGCCTTGCTCTTGCTTTGTTCTGCATGTGGGGTTTCCGCGCTGTTGGTGTTATGACTGCATGGAATCGCTGCCCAGCAAAAACTCGCCTCAGCGGCTTTCACCCGAGGGACCGGAATGACAAACTGGCAAGCAACACATCAGTTGCCAGCCCAAAGACAGCAGCAGCGACATGGCAAGTTGGAGCAGCAACAGCAACAAAACCAGCAGAAACGGCTATAGCAGTTTTGGCAGTTATGGCACCTGCAGTGTTGAGAGAAACAGCAGCAGCAAGTTCGGCCAAACGCTGAATCTTCATTTCGCTACAGCCAATGCTGAGCCCCCCCCCAGTTCTACTACTGGTGCTATTGCTGCTCTATGGAGAGCCTAGGCGTGCAGGGGGCTATCTCAGGCCTCCACGGGGTCCATTCCTGGGACCGCAAGCCATGCCACACATGCGCCCGACTAGAAAGGTCAGAGCGTTCACTAGCGGCAGTATCAGTTGCAGCTGCAAGGCCAGCAACAGCAGTCCAAGCAGCGACGACGCGGACTCGGAATGCCCTAGATGTGTATGGCTGCGGACTGGCGAGGACACCTCCCCAGTTGTTGTTAGCGGGGACAGGAGCATCGGGGTCTCTTCATTCGAAGAGCAAGACGTCCGTCCAAGGTTGCAGTTGGAACTGACAGAAGTAAACGCAGCAGAAGCTGGAGCAACCGTAGCCCCGGGAATCGACGCATCACCTGCCGTTGAGGTCGTCCCCATCGAAGTAGGGATAGCTCCAGAGATGAAACGGGCCTTGGGGCTTTTTCGAGGCTCCCACAAGCGGCACATTTTTCTGCCGGTGTGCCTTCTGGGGCAATTTCAGGGCACGAAGGGAGAAGATGCCCTTAAGGAGGAGGCCACCCAGGCGGGTAGCTTCTGCTGTGGCCAAGGGATGCAGACTACGAGAAGGCCCTTGCAAGGTCAGGAGCCCCCTTTACTATCTAGAGCTGCAGCTGAAGGCTTGCCTCCACAGGGTATGCTAGAGTCCCTAAAAGAAGCCGTTTGTAAGGCACTTAAGCTGGGGGAGGGCTTCTGCAGGGAAATTCCCCTACAGCTCGTGGCCCAGGTGTCTGCGCCGAAGACGAAATGCCGGTCTGCACTGCAATTAGACAGCCCATCATCGGTCCAGCTTGCTGCACAGACCCCAACCAACGATGACTTAGAGTCAGTGAACAGAAATTTGCCGGCGCTTTTTCCGTTGGCGTCTGAAGATGATGCGCTAAGGATTCTTAGGGACCATTACGGGCCTCTCCTTGAACAGTACCGCCGTCTTCCCCACTGCCCAGCATGTCTGCTCTCCAACAGCATGGCTAGCGACAGTATCAACAGGAAGAGGGAGTTTAAGGGGAACGCTGCTCTACGCATCTTGCGCCTCCCAAGGGGGCCTCGGCTGTCGTTACACCTGCAGCTGGAGCCGCCGCTGCCTTCAGTTCCGTTTTCCAACGGTGGAGCCCTGCAGGACTTCCCGAGTCCTCCGCCATTAGTTGCTGCGAAGAGCGACGATTTCCGCGAAAGTAACACCTCGACAGTCTGCTCGCCGTACCAGCTGGTGTCTCTATACAAATTTTTCCCCGTGAGCTCGCCTAGAGCGCTAGCTGAACTGCTGAGGGCCCTATGGGGTCCAAGAGGCGTGCTGGGGAGGGCTTATGTGGCAAAGGAGGGGCTCAACGCCCAACTAGCTGTGCCTTCCATCGCAATGCCTGATCTCCTTGGGGAGCTTCAACAGATCCCTGGGTTGGAAGACGGTATGCAGGTAACCCCCGATTGCCTCGTCGCCTTTGAAGAGTACTGGAGGTCCCCGCCTTTCGATGCACTTCATATCAGGCCGCGGCATCAGGTGCTGAGGGATGGCTTCGCCGTGCCTTTAGACTGGGCAAACTGCGGGCAGGAGGTGAGTCCCAGTGAATGGCATCGCAAGATCACTGATATGTTGCAGCAACAACAGCAGAAACAGCCTGTAAAAACAATGGTGCTCCTGGATATGCGTAACGCAAGTGAGTACGCAGTAGGCCACTTTAAGGGTGCCAGGTGTATAGACACCCCAACCTTCGCTGACTCCTTTACCCGTGGGGGCCCGCTGGAGAAGGCCCTCCAACAGGCAGGGGTTGAGCTGCCCTCCCGGAACGCCATTCCCTCTTTATCCAGCAGCAGTGGTAGCGGGGAGGACGTAGAGATCCTAATGTACTGCACTGGCGGTATCCGCTGTGTCAAGGCTGGGGCGTTCCTCAAGCAAGTTCTTGGCTTCCCGCGGGTCACGCGCCTCAAGGGTGGTATCCTGGCATACAAAAACTACATTCAAAGCATCGAAGGAACATTTGCTGAAGGTTCAAGATCCTTCTTTGCTGGAGGCGAAAACATGTTACCTACCGGCGCCTATGATTTAAGAAAAGATGACGCAGACAAATGCGGCACCGCCCGCACAGGAAGGCAGCCACAGACAGCCGCCAAGAGGGCTGATCTGGCAGCAAAAGAAATGCACGCTTGTACCTGTAAGAGCTTGTTTGTGGGGAGCAACTATGTCTTTGATCATCGAATGTGCCAGCCGATCACGCCGGACTTGCTGGCACAATGCATTCTCTGTGGAGGTCCTTCAGGGCGCCTCTCAAACTGCAGCAACAGGCAATGTGGAAGACGTGTTGTCCTCTGCTCCTCCTGCTGCGCCTCCCTCGGGGTTTACTGTTCATCTGCGTGTGCACAGCGTGGGGCGCAGGACAGTGATAAAGACATACACGCACAGATCCAGAGGCGCATGCAGGCCAGGCATACGCACAAGAGGCTGCAACAGCAAAGGGGTCTGTGGGCCATCAGGGCTCAGCAGCTGCTGGCTGCTCTCAAACACAAAGCTGTATTTGAACCACCGGATGGTAATTTGGCCACCTCTCTGCAACTTAGGCGTTGTCCAGCATAGCCAGTTAACCTGTTGTGTTCCGTTCAATTATTTCACGGATGTGGGGAAGGTCTAACGTGACTGAGTGTGTGATGCACTGTGGAAAATGTTATGCATGCGCAGACGCCTCCCCTTTTGCGAGAAATTTGGAGACTGAGAAGGCCTTACACCAGGGTGGCCGTGCTCTTGCTCAGGAAGCCATCCCTCAGGACTTGTGGAAATGGGCACACCACGTGGCTTCTGCTGCTTCCTCCCCTTCTGCACTGCAAGAGGCCCTTTTGGAAGAAGGACGAAAGACGGCGGAAAACCTTGCTGGGACTGCGAAAGAGGTTCCTCCGTTCTGGTCGGGGCACTTGCACTCCCGCATTCTCTCTTCCATCAGCAGACTAAAGAGGCCAAGCTCCATCCTTGAGATTGGATCATTCGTGGGCATCTCCTGTAGGTCCCCTTATATTTTGCCTCGAGTGCATTGGTTCCTGTTCTTCACCAATCCTTGTGTATCATATGCTCTGCCTGCTCCACCCATCTTTAATGTTCTATTATTTCCAAAAGTCGTGTTATGCTACTTGGCTCTTCCTGAATTTAGATTTATGTCTTTGGAAAGGTGCTGCTCGTGGTGGTACTTTCGCTGCCACTGCATTGTTTGTTTGCCACACTCCTGCAGCACTCGCCCTAGCTGAGGGTCTGTCGTGCGAAGAAAGGGTGCCCGGTACGTGCGTAGGCCTTGTTGCCATTGAAAGGGACCCGCGAGCAGCAGCAGCAGCACGTCGCCTTATCAGTTCATCCCCTTGGGGTCATTTAATTACGGTGGTAGAAGCTGACGCTTTGCAGTGGCTCCGGTCGCAGCCCAGAGCAACAAGGAATACCTCGTCTGGGAAGGTGGCATCAGAAGGGACCGCATTGGGTACCGTTTCACTGGAAGGCGGTATGCTCCCAGATGGAGGGTTTGACCTGATATATCTTGATGCTGAGAAGAAGAAGTATTCCCAGTATATCGAGACTATTTTAGACCCACAGAGACCCCTACTTGCACCTAGGGGTGCACTTTTAATAGATAATACTCTGTGGGGCAGGGGACATGAGGGAACAAGGCCCTTATGGTGGAAAGGCACAGGCGCAGAAAAAGATGCACCGCAAGCCAGAAGATACGCAAGCATTGCGGAGTCCATGAAGAACCTACGCGAGGCTTTGCGCAACGACACGCGCATATCGCACGTAAGCCGAGTTAAATCGTTGGAGCTCTTTGTTTTTATAGCATGTATCAAGTCTTCTCAAACCATTGTGCGCATGCGTGAGGATGCGCAACTGCATGTGTTGAAAATCGCAAACCTCCTAGTTTTGTTTACTCGCGGTCTGCTGACCTGTATATGGCACCTGCTTCCCGCACCAGTGGGAAGGGCTGGAATTCCGAATGCGTTTCTCTGCGAGTGCAGGTGTTACTGCCTGTTGGCGACGGTCTGTCTATCGTGACTTGGGCTACTCCAGCGTCGTCTTTGCCTTAACCGGTAGGATGTGGTGTGGATACATGTCGAGAACTCAACAGAGACCCAAGCTTGCCGACAACTTCCTAAACTGACCCGCTAGCGGTTTTTTCTAAACTTACCAAAAATAACCGCTAGCGGGTCAGTTAAGTGTGGAACACAAGCCCTTTCGCGTCAGTGCAATGCTGTCCCGACTTTACCCAATCAGTTTCCGTTCCCTTGTTTACACCAGCTTACAAGCCTCACTCCGTAGCTCGCCGATTGAACATTACGCTGGACTCCACTAACTTTTTATGAACACTCCTACATCGAGGGCGCTTTTAAGCTCCTCTATTATAGCAGATATCTTATGCATCAGGAAGCGAATTGGAGCCAGAAAAGTGTAAAACAGGTTTCCGGGGCGCTTAACGTTGGCCCTAGCTGAATGATTGCCAACTGCCAGTTTAGGGTTCCTCCACACCGCGAGGTGCCCGAAAAACAGTGGGTTCTCGAAGCAAAAGAGAAGTTTATTCGTGATTGCGGACAAGTTGCTGCACGCTCCACTACGCCTACACAACGCTACGCCCTAACCCCAGGTTGCCACAGTAGTCCACCAGCGATCAGGGGTTTGTTTGTTTGTATCAAACCATTTCCAGAATCCTACCGCACCGACTGAACTGGAATGGCTTCACTAACAGCTGCCTAAATGAGCAATTGATGTTTTAGTTCCCATTTCTTCTTGTGTCTCAACGCCCAATGCTCATTAGCCCCTTTAGGTACAGCTCGACACAAAAGGTCAAAGCCGAGTTTTCAGTTGCGGGAACATTTTTTTGCATTTCCGCTCATTTCTGTGGGTTCACAATGACAGCACTTCAGTGCTACAGGTCTTGAGTCAATTAGCGTCCAGTAATTTTCAGCTGCCCCGTTCGAGCTTGAGCTGCCGCTCGATCTAAAGTGTACAGACAGCTTTTTGGATAAAAAACGACGTCGCCACTTACTTACGTTACATGAACCAGACTTGCACACTAGAAGGAAAGAAAATTAAGAAGCTATTGCGGTAAAAAGTGTTACTTTTCTCAGTGTGTGGTCGAAGATGAGAGTGGCGTTTTCGCTCGATTGCCGAAATCGGGGGGAGGCAGATGACGCGCACTTGAATGCAAAATTGTTGCAGTACTGGTGCTCAGCTCTCGAGGTAGTGACCTTTTTAAAACGGCAAATGACATCTGGAAGAATGTGGTACGCGTAGGACTTCGCTGTATTCGGGTCCACGCGCTTTTCCCAAGTTTCAGTTTCGACTCTTTGTGAGTATAGTGATGGATCCGCAATCCCTTCTTCTACAGCTGCTTCACGCATGCGTATTTTCAGTTTCAACGGGCTTCAAGGTCTGGATATCGTTTGAAGAGACCTGCACTCTTGAGACCCTCCGCCGCGTACTGCCTCAGCTGATTAGTACAAGCATGCAGTCGGACAACGGCCGAAGGGAAACCGAACACGAAGGCGCTGTGGAATTCTTGAGAAGTTTCATAGGTAGCGCTTTGCAGTAGAAGGACTTGACGGCATGAGCTATGGTCTGTCTGTCCCCACAGAGTGGTTTGCGGCTGCACCAAAAGTGGCTACAAAGCTGGTTCTTGTTTCGCTTGATCTCGCGCGGTGGGTGGCAGCTTTCAGCTCGCTACATGACTTTACGTCGAGGCGTCGAATTGATACGCGAGGCTTCTCTTTCGACCTACTGAGCATTGAATGCGTTGAAGGTAAGACGAACTGCTATACAGAAGCAACTGTCACATTCCAAAAACTTGGTTGGTCTGGCCCCAGTAACTTCATCGCTCTCTAGCCATCCAATAAACTTTTGTTCTCCTATTGTTGAGGTACAGTAGCAATGGTTTTTGAATGGAAGATCAGGGGAGACTGCCTCCGTAGATATTGCAAAAGCTCTCCATTTTCGGGGATGTGAAGCAAGTGGCTCTGTTGCACACAGAATTCCTACAATTGTTTCGTGCGCTTATCACCACGCAAGAAAGAGTACAGCTAAGCGTCAAGGGTTTCGTGAGTTCACTGCATCCTGCTGTCGCTCGCTTTTCGTGCTGATAGCAGTTCACAGACTCTAGCAGTTGGACACTTGACGCGACTGTCTGTTCGCGAGACACCACATCCCCGCCCTTCTCCCTATATCCTTTTTGATGTTCGCTCTCGGGCTGCTTGGACGGCCATCCCGCAGCAGGCGGTAAGCTTTGCAAGACCGAGTTATGAAAACTGAAAAAGGCAAACATCACTGCTCGCGTGCATGCGGCAAAATCAGATCTGGGGAGTGTCCATGCTAGTCCGCGACGGAATCGAGGAGTGTAGTGCGCAACAGAGTTCAATTTCGGCATTAGCCGAAACCCTTGACAAAAAGGCATGCCTATCTGTCCATTAATTTACGAGCGGCACCCCCAAAATATATTTGCATTTCAGGAAGAAGTGCTTATTCTTAGAGCTCCACTAGATCCCCAGACTTTCGAAAGCTTGTCCGATTTCGCTTGCATTAGCGCATCTTCAATTTGCAGAGCATGCAACTCCTGTAGGCCGGAGGAACTCGGGATTCGCCACTTATTTGTAGCTCATCCTCAGGCAGGATCGACGCCTGCGGAGCTCCTCATACAGGTGCCTTCACCTACACGAGTGAACAAGCAATTACAGGCCGTCATCTAAGGGCACATAGGGTCTACTCTCCCGCGAATACTTCCTATGTCCATCGCTGAGGCAACCGCCTTCGGCGAAGATACAAGCAGAAAGGTCTTACAAAGCTGCCCAAGCAGCCCTAGAGTCGCTGGGAATGTTGGAGTTGTACAACCCGGTGCTCTACTCCTGTCGTACAGGTTAGTTCGACTATATCCATTTTCCAAGCTCTACACCTGATTCCAGATCACAGCTGGGACAGCGGGTGGCATCAGCGCACAGCAAGCCACGTACTTCGCTGAAGTTATCGAATGCCATGCTCAGAAACGCAAGCGCACATCTACAGCTAGGCGGTGAGCTGGGAGTGAACATATTGCCTGGAGAAGGAAGGCCATTTCGGAACCTTTCCACGACAGACCACAGGCGGGACTCCGCCTTACCTGCGAGCCCGCAGACACCTGCAGGGACAGGCTAGAAGGCACAGATAGCAACAAAGGCAGAATCCCAGAAGATTATGAACAGACACTGGCTGTTCGCGCATGCCCTCCAGCCGAACACCGCTGCATCAACCAGCGGCCCAACAAAAAACCAAACAAGCCGCAGCAGCTCTGCACACTTTTGCGAAATGTTTTC